CTTTGAGAGTAGCAATATCTGATAAAACTGAACCACCAAAAAACGGCCCTTAACACACTCTATCGAAAAGCCTTCAATGATTTCTGCGGTAGTTTTAACCGTTTTCGAGAAATCACTGATAAAGAGCAAAAACCCATCAAACTTCGCGTCAATCTCTTTTGAAATTAAAAAAAATGGCAGTAGCCAAAGACCAAAAATATTCCCAGTAAGACACTCTATCGAAAAAGCTTTAATAGTTACAAATTATTTCCAACTGTCTCTGAGTTAGAGGGTTCCAAAGGCTCCAAAGCCCCATAAATTCGAACATTTTCGCTCCTCTATCCTCAAAGGTTCGAACTAGTGAAAACATCCTTAGGATATTGCCAGAAATTTCTCAGCTAAATCGAGCGCAACATTCTTAAAACCCACTATTTTCAAGGACTTTTGGGGCAAAAAAGTCATTTTATCTTCAAAACAGCTGCGTTCCAGCCATTTACTTGACACAAAAAGGGCTCGTTTCCATCGAAAAATGCTTTGTGCGCCACTGGCTGGCCATCAGCATCGTGGCAAAATCCATTATAATTATTTCCGATAATGTCTATTCACAGGAGGCGATAATTAGGGGCGCTGGGCTTATCCAAATTAGGTGCATTGCCATATTAAAAACAAACACAAACACCTTCAGCGTGTAGCCGAGTTAATATAACGGTAGATTCTGTCAATCAACAATTATCTAGTGGCCCGGTCTGATTAAACTGCGCCCACTAGTGGAGGGTGGAAGTGACAGCAGCAACTTTTTACAGATTCCACCCAGCTGGACAGTCTCCGCCCCTCAGCCAAAGCCACGCCCTTGACCACCAATCAGATGGCTTCAGGTACTCTTGGGCCCAATCACGCCCACTCTGGACCTCGTTTAGACTTGCGGTTGTTTCAGAGGAGCAGGTGGCTGAGTACCTGGCCGCCCATCCAGACTTTCTGGAGAAGTTCGTGATCGCCCAGGTGGACATTGAGCAGCTGGAGCGCTGGATCATCAGGAAGTCGCAGCAGCTGAAGAAGCGGCCCGAAGTCGGGCTGCGCAACAGCCGCAAAACCAGTCTATCCAGGTTTGGAACTGCTCCAGAATGCCGCAGGCGGCTGATGCGATCCCGGTTGTAGGTGGAAGTTTTGCGTGCACGCCGACAAGCGCCAGATGCTGCAGGATCTCACACAGAGCCTGCAGCTGAAGCCCACCAAAAGCCAGGTTCTGTGGGAACTATCCAGCTGCATTTCTTCAGCAGTCAATGCCGATGGATTCAGGTAGGTAAAAGGCCCTCGAGGCCCTCAAGTCACTCTGAGGCGTTCCAGACTGTACACCATTGAAAAATCGAGCGACTCAGACGAGCTGCATCTGTTCTTGGTGCTGGATTCGCCCTCAGAAGGCGGCCAGCTGAAGTTCCAGAGGATCAGAAATGGCATCAATGTGGCCCTGCATGTGGCCCACACTCAGGTGCCCGTCCGGCTCACCAAAGGCCAGCCGGACGCGCGCTTCGGCCCAGAGACCTCCGCAGAGGTACTAAATCCATCCAGCTTCTTCACCAAGAAGTACTAAATCCATCCAAGCTGTTCCAGAGCGAGTCGGCCCATATGCAATGCCAGCCAATCATCCAGCCCAATGGGGAGGCAGTGGCGGTGCTGGAGCTGTGGCGGGGAACCGCGGGCGGGCCCTTCCACGAGGAGGACGAAGAGATCGCCGCCAGCTACCTGGTGTGGGGGGGCATCGCTCTCCACTACGCCCACCTCTACCTCAACATGAACCAGCAGAAGCAGCTGAACGACTTCCTGCTGGCGGTGGTCAAGTAGGTGTAGGCACTCTCTGTTGGCCTGCACGTAACAGTGGCGTCCTGCCAGGTCCATTTTCCAGGACATGGTCAGCATGGACATGCTGGTGATGAAGATCATGAATTTCGCCCAGCGGCTGGTCAACGCCGATCGCGCCTCCCTGTTTCTAGTCGACAGCAAAAACAAAGGTTTGCAGGAAAAAACTGGGCGGGGATACCAAATGGGATACCACCTGCTCATATTCCAGAGCTCTACGCGACGATTTTCGACATCGGGATCGACGAGTGCACCGACAAACTGTGCAGGGAGAACGAGGGCGACGACTTGATGAAGGTGCACACCTCAAAAGAGATCCGCTTCCCATTGGGCACCGGCATTGCTGGGCAGGTGGCCATGAGCGGAAACATCCTCAACATCAAGGACGCCTACGCTGATGACCGCTTCAACCGCACCGTCGATCAGCTAACAGGTTCAGTAGAAACACCCTGTATGTGTAGAGGCTGACGATGTTGTGCCCACTGGCAAGGCTACACCACAAAGACCATCCTGTGCATGCCGATCTACATCAGAGGCTCGATCATCGGCGTGGTCCAGATGGTGAACAAGCAGGCCGGGTTCTTCACCAGTGATGATGAGGCGGCGTTCGAGACGTTCGCCGTCTACTGCGGCCTGGCCTTGCACCACGCCAAGCTCTACGACAAAATCAAGAAAAGCGAGCAGAAGTACAAGGTGGCCTTAGAAGTGAGTGCCCAGTGAGAGGGACTCACCGGAAAACTGATCGGGGAGTCTCCATTAGGTGCTGAGCTACCACAACACCTGCACAGAGGAGGAGTTCCAGGGGGCGCTGAGCGAGGGCGTCCCCGAGCACATTCCCGGCGTAGACGACTACTACTTCAACCCGTTCCAGATCCCCGATAGGGACAAGGCCATCCACTCCATCTACATGTTCATTGACCTGTTCGGGCTGGCCAGGTTCGAAGTGGGCAGCCTGATCAAGTAGGCAACCAGCCGCGCTTGGAGAGCCGGTAATGCAGAGCTCCGTTTTGCAGGTTTGTGCTAACCGTGCGCAAGAACTACCGGCGGGTCCCCTACCACAACTGGACCCACGGCTTCTCGGTGGCCAACAGCATGTATTGCATCCTGAAGCGGTCGGAAGGCTGCTTCAAGACAAACGAGGTAAAGCCCGTCTCCCATGCATCCGCTTGTACGATGATACGATGGTACGAAAGTGTTTCTATTGGTTGGAGATCTGTCAATTCGTCCTCCGTTCGTAAGATGGCGGTTCCGAAGGTGTTTGTGTTTGTTTTTAATATGGCAATGCACCTAATTTGGATAAGCCCAGCGCCCCTAATTATCGCCTCCTGTGAATAGACATTATCGGAAATAATTATAATGGATTTTGCCACGATGCTGATGGCCAGCCAGTGGCGCACAAAGCATTTTTCGATGGAAACGAGCCCTTTTTGTGTCAAGTAAATGGCTGGAACGCAGCTGTTTTGAAGATAAAATGACTTTTTTGCCCCAAAAGTCCTTGAAAATAGTGGGTTTTAAGAATGTTGCGCTCGATTTAGCTGAGAAATTTCTGGCAATATCCTAAGGATGTTTTCACTAGTTCGAACCTTTGAGGATAGAGGAGCGAAAATGTTCGAATTTATGGGGCTTTGGAGCCTTTGGAACCCTCTAACTCAGAGACAGTTGGAAATAATTTGTAACTATTAAAGCTTTTTCGATAGAGTGTCTTACTGGGAATATTTTTGGTCTTTGGCTACTGCCATTTTTTTTAATTTCAAAAGAGATTGACGCGAAGTTTGATGGGTTTTTGCTCTTTATCAGTGATTTCTCGAAAACGGTTAAAACTACCGCAGAAATCATTGAAGGCTTTTCGATAGAGTGTGTTAAGGGCCGTTTTTTGGTGGTTCAGTTTTATCAGATATTGCTACTCTCAAAG